GATTGTTTTCAGCATGAAACTCATGATGCCTACAAACGCATAGCTGAAGGCCTTGCTTGTTTGCGTTAAGAGTTATTCACGTGACCATTCCAGCATTTCAAATTACGCCGCCGCGTATTACCCTGTCGTGGTACGGCGCTTGTGGCGTGTGACGGGCATACCCTCTGGCCTCGCCCGCCGCCCTGCCAGCCACGCGCGTCCGAAACCATATGTGTGTGTGTGTGTGTGTGTATGTGTGTTGCGGGCGCGACCAGCGTAACTCGATTCGTTCCTGGAGGCAGGAGTCACGCAATGTACGCGGTAGCCTGATGGTTCTGGGAATCCCGTGTTGAAGTAGAGCATGCGCTAATCCAGCAGCGCTATTTTGAAGTGCGGGCTTTCGGTGCACGACTGGAATTGAGGGCGGATGCTTTGGACAAAAGCAGCTGGCGAGCTACGAGGAACAGTGTAACTATACAGCGGGTATGTTTATGCTATGCGCACATCACGCACACACCTGATCTGGACAGGGTGCAACTCGATTGGTGTCAGACCAATATGATTCGTCGTTTTCTTGCCCACTCGTTCTCACCTGGTCCTCGCTAGTTTTCACCCGGCCCTCGCCCGTTCTCATGGTCTCATTAAACTAGGTTCTTAAACTGTTCCCCACCCGGTCCGCCTGTTCTCATCAAACCTGGTCAGCGTTGTGCGTTTTTAAAGTCGCGCACTCGTGACCCTGAGGATTACTCCAAAAATTCCGGGTTGTCTCACAATGTACGAGCACACCAATACTTACTTAATAACTCTGCTCGAAAGCACATGCAGCTTTTTATGTAGTTCAGTTGTTTTCAATACAAAAATTCATGATGCCTACAACCGAACAGCTGAAGACCTTGCCTGTTCGTTTTAAGAGCTATTCACGTGAGTCCAGGCACGTTATTAAGACCCCGGACCATAGCTATTGAGAAGATAATTTGCCACGACATGCAAGAGTAGAATCCTTAATGCCATGTTTCCAAACAGACAAGCCACAACGCGACATCTTCACAACGAGAGGACGACTTATCTTCGCAGCAGTTCGCGGACCTTTCCATCTCGGACAGAAGATCGTTGAATTATTGTTCGGTAGCCATGCGGAGCTATAACCATCACACCACACACGTAAGTCGGACTGTTCTATTCTCGCGCTCGTCTTCTTGCGGCACACCCAGACCAGTGGTTGCAGGTAAAAAGTGTACGTCTTATTTTGGGCTTGGGGAGAGCATGAGTGCATTAAGCTATGAACTTTGGGAGGCCATAGGGCCATGTCACGAAGGGAGCTGCAGAAATCTCTTTCGGCTCCATGACACCCCTAGAGGCTGTAGGAGTCCCAATGGACCGGATAACCCAGCACCTCTTGGCAGTAAGAAGTGCCCGCAGAGAACCCAAACTGACCAAAGCAGCTACCTAGGTAACTATTCGGACACTAGAACATCAAAATGTGTCTCTAGAACCTTCACAAGGCCCACATCACGAGATCTGCTAGTGCAATTTGCCACCCAATCTACGTGAAACTGTGACATGCTACAGTGCGCGTGCTGGCTGCCTTCAACCACCAAAGTTCGGCCTTCGGATCTAGGGCCCCTCCCTCCATCCCCAGCACCTTCAATGCACCTTCAGGTGCACTGCTTCTGCTGGCGTTGTGCTTTCATGTTCTCTATAGCCCAAGGACGCTGGATTTCAACATTTCGCATTTGGTGGTGCATGGTAAGAACAGCACGAAACATTACGAATTGACTGTTGTCAATGCGGCGTCCATTCTCTGCGTCACACTCAAGTCCTATCTGCGGAGCACCATGGGAGAGGAGAGGCTGCGGGATTTGGACACGAGTATTGGAGAAGGAAGGCTGCCACACCACCGAAGCCATCCATTGTGTTTTCCAAATGGCACAGCAAGATGCATGGAGCAGAAAAATCTGACATAAAATACAGTTTCCAACCATTACAAGCTCAAACCGCCAGGAGTTCTGTCCTCACTTTGTCTTAGGTGTTTATTGCACCTTGAATTCGAGCGCAACGCGATGGACCAAAGCGCTGTTGTCATGAAGTAGCGTCAGGTGGAACGTGTCTCCCATTGTGCCCGCGTTATGGCCACAATTTGCAGAATCGACACCAACAGGAAACTGATGTCGAAGACAGAGATACTAGATAAATCATCAGGTGTGGTACAACTTTTGTTGCGTTGAACTCAAAACGGTTATTGGGCAATTTAAATTCCGCTAGCTACAAGTGCGCCGCGATACATCAAAAGCAATGTTCGGTCAGTGTAGGAAGGACCCCAAAAATGGATCTAGGACACTTCCATCAAAGGCAGTGCTCAGCCGGCTCAAGCAGAGACCAGAAAACACCAGCGTGATGCACCAAGCACCCTGTGCCAGTGAAGGCCTTGATTTCTTGCCCAAAAGATCGTGTTCATCCTCCCCCCCCCCCCCTCCCAATTTCACTCGGAGAATAGGAGACTTTGGCGGAATGGCCTACGTGCGACAGCTTGCATGAGGCACCACGTTTGCCTAATTTTCCCAAGAACATGTTGCGTTGTCAAGAGCAGCTTGGTTCTTCAATAAACCACTGATTCCGAGCCAGGCGTGTTACTTTTTAAAATCGGTTTGATCTAACCCATCCTAACCTATAACCCATAACCTAAAACTTGATTTTTCTCCGGATTTCGGCCACTCGCATTTGTGTCCCTGCTGTTCATATAAAGATATTTCGGCGATTCCACCTCCGAAAACTGCTGCGAAATGACGACTTTCCATTCGAGGTGATGTGAAGCTGCACGTAGCGAGAAGCTTAGACTTCGGTGTTCATTTTACAGAAAAGCGCCTGCATGATTCGAGCTCATGTGATCAACGAAAACATGTGTTCCTCGCTGATCGAAAGTAGCCCGAGGCGCAAAAGGGCGGTTTCATGCAGAATGGCACGGCTTTACAATTACTGGCGAGAGCCTAAGGACCGCCACGATGCACCTAGAGACAAAGTAAAACTGAGCTTACACAACCTCCCGACGGAAATTCGATAGCTGGAAGGACAAAGTAGGTAAAGACCAATGACCGAATAGGTCTCCAAAGTGGATGTCTCATAAAATATTGTGGCCAACTCTTTGACACATATCGGAAGTTGACATGAACAACAAAAGCCTTGAACACCGATGTTTTGGTGCGATGAATTGAAAGTCCTCATGTTGAAAATAATTGGCCTTCAGAATACCAGGACGTAATACTGTTAGATTGAGCTGTTAACCGAGTCAACCCAGGCTTTATTCATGAGTGGAAAGTGTGTCACCCGCATAATCAAAACCGCGGCGGCATTCGAAAGACCATTCAATGGAATAACATGAAAAATTCGATGTTAACCATCAGTAATTTCACAGTCGTCAAACCTTCAGTCTAAAGCAGATGCTTCTTTGAGGACGAGAACGAGAATCCTGTCATCACCGCTTCAAGGCGCTACATCACTATCGCTCTGATAACCTTGTGGGCGGAACCGGGGGTGACTGCACGGAATCGCTCGGGATTAAAAACGGCTTCGGTAGGACGTCGCACGTGGCACGAGCTTCACTGGATTGATTCGATAATCATTTATCCGGAATACACATCAGCTATGACTGCCGTGCCGCGGCTGCTAACTCGCCCAGCCTGTCGCCCTTGGCTTCATGCCCTGGGGTGACCTCAAGAACCACGCCAACCAGGAGAAGCTAACGAGCCTTCAAAAGCTCAAGGTCACCTCCCTACTTAACATGGAGCGTATTTCCGTGACCATTCGATGCGATGATCGACTATCTGCAGCAGACTCCGCTGTCGTGTATCCCGGATCGACAGGGGTCATCTAGAGCACCTTTTGTTCTCGCGATTTGACGGGCGTGGAATTGCTGATGACTACCACTATGCTCATTGTGTTTTGCTTTTCAAATGACAATTGAATACCACCATCGCAGTCACAATTGTGCCAAAAACATATTTGCCGTTGCTGAAAGAAACATGAGCCGTGTTTTATCAGAGCCACCCTGTACTTTAATATGCTGACATATCTGAGTTAATTGCTCTTTACCCTATCACAGGTGCCCTCATATGCAAGGCTTATTGGACATTTGCAGACTGGCCTGACATGAAAAGGCTTTGGCATGACCAAAAAATTAGTAGCCTGCGGGACACTATTTGGAACAAAATGAACATGACGCTTACGGTGATGTGTCTAGGTACGTGGTGTACCAATAGTTCAATTAATTTATCCGCATCGGTATTCCCTTTTGCTCGTATGCACTGAGGGCGCTCAGAGGGCTATTGGTGGAGAGGGGGGGGGGGGGAGGCGAAGACTCAAGTCAGCATTGGGGGATGGAGGGATCAGCCTCCTCCCCCCCCCCCCGCCCCCTAACACGCATATATCTGGACTGGGCTCAGTCTAGGTGCGGTCCAGACCCACGTGAAAAACTGTGTCTCATGGACATCGTATTTGTCAGCAACGCTGAGTTCCACAGGACGTGGCCGCACGCAGCCACGGGGTCCGTCTGAATCTCCGTCCACCAGGCGAAGCGCGTGACCTCGCATTTGCGACCCTCTATAACCTTCGGCCACGTGGTGGAGGCCACAGAACTGAAGATGTGGCTGACGGTGGAGGGTGCCAGCCAGTCAGCCACATACCGCATATAAAGTGACGACCTTTTCGCAACTGCTCCAAATCCTGTTCCCAGACTGAATCGGTGAGGCCATGCCTGTTCGCGGACCCGACCTGTTCACGCAGCTCTGCACAAAGCGGCCACTTCTGCGAACGGCGGCAGGGGAAATCAAACTAGATTGGCGGAAGCAGTTGGGACGTTCACTGAAGCGCCAGCAAACAGGCGAGGTGAGGCGAAGCGAGGCACCGGGCCCGCGTGAGTCACAGCCAGCCGCCGCCCCGTCACAATGGGCCGCTTCCTGTCTCTCGCCCGTGACGCGCCCGCCTATTTAGTCCGGGCCCGCCGCGCCCGCCCGTGTATTCGGCCGCGCCGTCCGCAGAGCTCGCACGACACGGTGAGTGGATCGACCCGACCGACTGGCGCGCTGGGGCAGACCGAGGGCAGACCGCGGGCCAGCAGACCCGGCATTGTGGTCAGATCACGGCGGCAGGCTAACGGCCGAGCCGCCCCTGGCCGTAGTGCGGAGGCCAGCGGCCAGCAAACTCGCAGTGTGTCCAACCGTTGAGATCCAGAGTTTTAGGAGCTCCAATGACCATGGCGATGCTGCTTTGGATCGCCGGGTGCTTGGATGTTCGCTTTCATCGATTCGTCAGTATTTCGGCCGTGACATGGTTGATCTGCCTCCCACAGCTGCGACCATGCTCGGCTCCACCCTTTTCGCGCTTCTGGTGGGGGTCTCGGCAGTGACGGCTCACAAGTACGGAGCCGGCAAGTGTGCCAACGTGAAACCGATGGACGACTTCGACGCCGACCGGGTAAAACGCAGACGATGTCTCTTCATAGTTTACACAACGGGGCCATATTTTCATTGACTCAACAAATGGGCAATCCTTTCAGATCGCAAAATGTGCAGACGATGCCGTCACGTGTTTATCACGATCAAGGGAAGGTGATGCACACTATAATTGAGTGGCGGGGCTGGGCAAGCGTTGTGCGGTTCCTCCGCTGGTGCTGACGGCTGGCCACCCCGCTGGCAGATCGTCGGTCTCTGGTACGTCCACCGCGCCTTCGGCACCACCTCCAGCTGCCTGACGTTCAACTACACCCGGACCGAGAGCGGCCTGCGGGTGGTGGAGTCCAAGGAGCTGCGGGCGCTAGACGCCGTCAGCCTCGATCACAAGTACAGCAGCGTCGGCACCCTCAGGGACAACGGGCCGCCCGGAGCGTACCAGGCAACATTCTCCACCAGTAAGCCGCTATTGTCAGTCGAGCGGGCCAGGTGCAACGCCAAGGCATAGTTAATGTTATCAGTACACTCAAACACACATGTCTGGGGCATGACCGTGCCATTGTATTCACATGCATTCAAAATCTGACAGTTACCTCGGAAGTGTGAATACCCGCCGATTGGGCCATGCAAGGTCGCGAGACCACAGCAGCTAGAGCCTAGTGCAAGCCCACGCTGACTCATCACTGGCGCGCCCGTCCGCAGATCCCCTGAGCTCCAAATACGTCTTCATGACAACCGACTACGACAACTACGCCGGCGTGTTCCACTGCCAGCACGCGGCCAAGATCGTGCACCGGCGCAACGTGTACGTGCTGTCGCGCACGCCGGCCGTCGACGAGATGTTTGTGGAGAAGGTGAGTCGCGAGCGCCGCTACCGCCCCCCCCCCCCCCCTTGCGCATGGTTCCGTGGTCAAAGGCGACTGGCACACGTGTTTGTGTTTGTATTGCTACGACTTGTACAAAAGCCTTTGAAACAATTAGGGTAAAGCTAGGCATATGTTGTCTAGAGAGGGATATGAATGGTAGATACGGATATGAATGATAGGCATATGAATACCAGATGATAGATAGGCATATGAATACGGGATGATAGATAGGAAAATGAATGGAACTGTGCTAGGTGCGAAAGCTATACAAGCCAAGAAGTGGATGTTAGTTGCTACTGGTCGACAAGTACTCTTTTGCCTTATAAGGCGTTTCCATACTTTTCCAGTCATTTTGTATCGTGCAGTGGCATAACATTGAATCGTTTTAGATGTAGTACGATTCGATGCGGCCTGATCTCTTGACTTATACGATCCGTAAAACATTTTTTTACCAGTGACGATGTATCCAATGCTCCGGGGGCGCCCAGTGATTACTACAGTGAAAACTCAACATAAAGCTGTACTTTGAGCGAGACCAAAACGCAACACATGCCACAATGCATGTCGTTACATCAGAAGCATAAGCAGCGTTGCGAGTTGTGTTATGTGACAGCTTCATCACTTACTGGTCTCCAGAAAAGAGAGTCTTCCTGGCACGTCCTCTCGCACGCGCTCTTGACGGTCGCCTTGGTCCCCGGCTAGCGCCACGTCCTGACATGCTGAACAATCCTTAAGTTAGTCAAAGCACCATGCATGCGTATATGTGATAGAATTTCTCTCAAGTTGCATCACCAGAGATAACAATATAACACATCAAGCTAAAGCTCTGTCTTCTAAGAATCATTGAGCAGTCCAGCATGGGTAATTGAGGTTTCAAACGTACATTCTGGGAGGGAATTGCCCTTACATAACAACCAAATTTAACACCGCCGTTTATGCTTGTCTGCTTGTAAAGTTAAACACATTGAACATGATTCACACCCTGCTAGTGTAACGGAGCTTATTCGTATGCCATAGCCTAGTCCCCTTTCTTCTTATTTGCCAGTCTGCATACCACGGAAAACATACCAAAAAGAAGTTTTGGGCAGGTGGAATAAAGTCCGAAAATTTTGTTACCTACACTTAACCTCAAAACATTGCGTGCCATCATATTTGTGCATTCTCTGATGTATCACGCCGCTGATTGAACCCTCGCACCGCCTTTCGGAATATAACAATATTAAAAAAGCATTATGTAGCACTTCTTAAGACCGCAACACCAACCAGCATCGGAAAACAGCGGCATTGCGGCATCTTACCATCGAAAATAATATAGTCATGACATCATCCCGGAGACGTCGTTCGCAGTACGCCACAGCGTCAAAAGATGACGCCGGTCATGTAGTCTTAGAGTAGAGAATCATTGGAAATGACTGTCGAATGAAGATGAAGAGCGCCCCTCTCTAGCAACATTTTAGAATCGCTTGGACAAGTTTTAGTGGTCTAAGGATCTCATTTATAGCTAAATTCGGGCAGGTCAGGCGGTTTAATTAGTTTCGTGGATGTGGGCTGAACCCGAGGTAGGCCAACCTCGATGAGCCCTTGTGGCTCTTTGTTGGCCTCATGTCCTTGCGTCTTTATGTTAAGGAGGGGGCGTTGAAGTCCTCCCCCTCACCTGAATAAGAAGCTACATCCCTGTAATGTATCAAATGGTCCTCAACACGCGATATGTAGCGTGGAGGCTGAGCGGGCGGGCGCGTCCTGCCGGCAGGTTCGCCGTCGGATGCTGGTGTTTGACCTGGAGCCGGACCACCTGGACGAGGTGGGCCACGCAGATTGTATCACCAAGGAGGAGAGTGACATCAACATCCGGCTGGACGGCACCCTGTTCGACTTCAGCAAGGAGTGATGTGAGCGGGCGGGCCGATCGGTCAGCAGGGGCCGCCGACCGGGCAGCGGGGACGGCCGACCGGGCAGCAGGGGCGGCTGACCGGGCAGCAGGGACGGCCGATCGGCCAGCAGGGGCGGCCGGTCCGAGCGGCGCGCGCCAGATCGGGCCGGCACGGCACTCCGCGACGCGAGTAGACTAGCTGCGCTCAGCTGCGGTCTGTTTAGGGAGGTTCGGGAGACTGGTGTTTTCTGTGAACCATTCACGTGGTGCTTGTACGATCGAAGTTGCGCATTGGTTTCTTGTTTGCTGTTTTGTACTTGTTGAGTAACAGAGGCACGTGCCTTTTCGAATCTACTTGGAGCTCATAAATAAAGCACCCAAAGAATATATCGTTATCATGCATGGTAATATCACGCTACCCAGCTATGACGGCGGCGAGTTCCAATGCATGGAAAACTACGATTCTCCAGCCGGATGTCAACGAGTTTACAAGTTTGGTAAAGTTGACAAATTGTGCTGCATTGGCGCTCCGGAATATCTAAGCAGGGGATGCAATTGAACGAGTCGTAAAAGAACTGAACGGGTGATTTGAGCAAATAGGTATGTGTTAGATTGTCAGTACCAGTATGTGCTAGATTTACATTGTCGGCCGATAGTGCTTCTTCAATGATATCATGCGCGCTATGATGCGCTTCCCGCGCTAAGATAAATATATTTCAACTTGAACACCGCATTTGTGCAAACAAGCTCTGCAGCCGGCGCCCGAGCCTCGAATAATACGCTGCTGGAGTGCCCATCGAATCAAATGGAAACCAAAATCCGACGAGTGTTTTGTCCGGGAGCGTAATAAACATGTACCAGCGCTATCAAAAGAATACAGTCGCGATCTTTTGGTTTCATTATAGGCATGTTTCCCGCACCGCGGCATCACGACCATTTCTCTGCGGTTAGGTCGGCCAAAGTTGGGTCGAGGATTCATTAGAATATACACTACCATGTCGGTCCTTCAGAGAGTGACTTTGCCTCCGCGTACCAGTTAAAGTGGTTAAAAATGGACGTCGTAGATGTGCAAACCACCGCTCCATCCCGGCCCAGGAGCGTTGAGTGATATGCTGTTGGGGTTTCGTACGAATGAAATAAAATTATAAAATCCACGAGTGTGTTGTACTGACAGTTGACAGCACTGTAGCGGTGCTTTCGAATGTACACAGTGTCAGCCTTTGGGTTCGATTACAAGTAATTTTATTTTATTTCATTTTTTACCATTTTTGTTTCTACCAAACATATTTTACCAGCTTTGTCGCCAGCCATCTCAATAAAAAACAAACATGCGATGTTTTTGGTGAATGCCGCAAAGGAAATCAGATAAAGCACAATGACATCAGGGGTATGACTATTGAAGGTCTGCCACCGTGAAATTATGTCATATTCAGCACCTTGCAGCGTTCTTAATGTTGCCGATCTTCGACACAATGGAGTGGGACGACCGACAACTATACGCTCAGGTTTTGTGATCCAGCGCTAAATATCCAAAAGCGTTTTTGCGGGTTTGTTTCCATCGTTTGCAGATTGAGTCCAAATTTATCACGCCTCCAGTTAAAGACATTTTTGTAAATAAGCCGCCATCTTTTTGGAACACAGTGCTAAAAAAAAATATTTTACGATCTCCGGTGATTAAGATCGGCGCCTATATTTTGGCCGCTGCAAGGGCCGGGTTTAAACAAGGCGGAAGCATCCAGCGGCAAAAAGGTGCAAGCTATCTTGCGTTACCCTTACATTTCTTTTTTCCAATGAGCGAGGGAGCTCCCCCGCGCTCGCACGGCCGTCGCTGGTTCGCCAAATGGGATACTATGCGGTGCAAATCACCGCTTCGGCCGGCCACCAAGCATTGAGTGACACGCTGTGGGGCTAGGCAGAGGGGAACGGGGCACGGAATGAAATCCAATCCAAAATTGGACGAGCATGCTGTACTGACACCTTTTACACAAATTCCAGTGCCACTGAACGCACGCAACTATAATTTTCAGGTGTTGACCATAAATAATTTCAACGGTCCACCGTATTATGACAGTCGTTCCACCCGCGCGCCGGACGCAGTTAACCCTACTCCGTCAGGGTATGATTGGAACAATAACAAAAACAATAACGAAAAAGCTAAACAGACAACTCAAACGTCAGGCTGAATGACGCCAGATTTACGTTGCGGGCCGAGATGATTTTTACAATGATATCCAGTGTGCGAGGCTTCGCCCTCCCCGCAGAAATAAAAATATGTGAAATTAGGAGCCGTATCTTCGCAAATGATAGCACCGGTGCACTCTCAAGCATTGAGTGATCGCTGATGGGGAAGGGGGGGGGGGGGTGATCGAAATAAGGTCAAGACCAAAATACGACTAGTGTATTATACTAGCAGCTTATGCTCTATACCACTTCAATGGAATGCATGCAGTCGAAATATTTAGGCTTTAGTCTATTTTTTTTTGGACCGTCGTATTATGGTCATCACCCTTCGCACGCGTTGACCAAAGTTAGCTCTGCGCCGTTGAGGAGGTATTTGGGCAAAAAAATTGTAGGCCGATGCGAGATTTTCATTGCCCGCCGATAATGCTCCCACTATGACATCGTATGTGCAAGCCTGTACCGTCCTCGCTCAAGTAAAGACATTTCAAATAGGACGCCGCATCTGTGCAGCGTACCGCTCCTGCCGGCCCGCAAGCATTTGGTGATACGCTGTTCGAACTCAATACGATATACGACTGATGCGACTCAGTGCAGCCGAAAACACATCTGGCGAGTGTGTTGTGCTGGTGGCTGATATTCCTCTTCCAGAGTGATCAAATGCACACGGTTGCAATCTTAGGGTTTGGTTGTATTTTTCCCAAGCCACCGTATCATGGTCATTGCAGTGTCCTTCCATTGTCTCATTGTGGACTCACCATAAGCTCTCACATCTCCTTTCATTGTCAGATGGCCCCGACCAACGCAGAGGCCCTTTTGCATTTGGGGTGCAGTCCCTGCCCGTGTACAGCAAATGTTTCCCTGACTGAATCACTAATGGAATACAGCAAATGTCAGGAATACTGGTACGCCAGTTAACTAAACATATCAGTATCGATAGCGACATTATGATATATCATCATTGTAACATGAATCGTATCGGATTTAAATGGGTTGTCATTTCTCAACATCAAAACAAGTTTCAAACCGACCAATTACGCCCTTGCTGCGCCACTGTGCAATCCTGAATGCGCGCCTGGTCACCATCCAGCGGCGGATCCAGGATTTCGTCAGGGGAAGGGGCCTTGATGGTCCCCTGGAGTCTGGGGCCCCTCCAAAAATATTGTATTCCGGCCATGTCATCTTCAGATTGTTGTGTTTGCGCATTGTTACACTGGAGTCAATATTCCTGCCCGCAGCTCTAGACACATATGCACATACATGGAGCATGCTCATCGTCTCCACATTCGTTTTAATGCTAAGCTTTTTCGGAGAATATATGGCAAAAAGCAAGGTTGGTTGCCAAATGCCATCAAAATCAAGCGCGACACTTGATTCCGAAGTTGCGTACGGTTACCCGGCTTTCGGCGGTTACCCGTCTCGCCGATAGGATCGGCTGATGGCTGATGACTATTGCAGAGATTTTGCTGTGACAGTTATTAAAGAGAACAACATATTCTAGCTTTCAAAATGTGTTAAAAACGTGCCGCGCAATCACAAATAGGGTCACAAACTCAATAACGACTGAAAATGACATGTGCGACGTCAACGGCGCGTCACATTATCTTTGACGATTGTGCCGAAGTTATTGACATGTGCTCACTGGTACATGTGCTCCCGGGCACATGTGGGCTTTCGCCAACAGGGTATGATCCTTCTGACGTCATCAAAAGAGCCCACCACCATTGTGCGGGACCCTGGAACGGTCAGAGCGTCCCGGCCGATAACAATTCATGCCCCGTCAACAACGTTGGCACTCTGGTAAAATGGGAAAATCCAAGACGAATGGGGACAACGCCTGAAAAATCAAGGGTGCCGCAACAGGACCAACAAAATGGATTCCGGCAACAGTGTAGGTAGGGTCCTCTGAGCAAGCGAGAAGAACCCAAGACCGACATGGTGGACCCCTGAACGATTGGAAGCACCTCGACAGATTAACAATATGGCCCTGGCCACAGCGCAGGCCCCTCCGAGCAAAAGGAAATAACACAAAGCCAGGGCACGCGAATGAATGTCTTTCAGCGATCGAGAATGCCTTCGCAGACAAACGTCAAGTGGCCCCGGACAGTAGTTTAGGGTTCTCTAAGCTGAAGTGGCCAGGGCCATTGTAGCGGCCTCCTGTGCGATCAAGAGTGCTCGGGCAAACGCACAGGAAGGGGCCCGACAAGAGTAAAGGCTTCTCCGCGAATGACATAAAAGGGGAACGATCTCTACATCAAGATCAGTGTAGAAGGTTCCTGACCGTCGAGTGCCTCAGTGCATTAATTTACATGGGCCCCAGCAACGGCACAGGGTCCTACGATGAAGTGGAAAACAATGTGAAGGGCCCAGGGGCCAATGTGAAGGGCCTATGAGCAGCGCCGGAGAGTACCCCGACAGGCTAACATGTAGGGCCGGGTAATGGCGCATCGAGTCCCTCGGGCGAGTGGGAAAAAATGATGGGGGGTCCCTGATCAACAAGTGTCCGGCATGCTAGCAGATAAGGCATCGACAACAGCGTAGGGCCTTCTGAGCAAATACACAGGGATCAATGGCAACGTGGAAGGCTCCTTTACGATTGGGTTGCCCTTGCATGTGAACGTTAAGGGCCTTCGGCAACAGCGTAGGAACTCTAGATCTCTTAGAGGGAATGTTTTACTTTTGAAGGTATTAAAGCAAGCATGAGGTATGATGAAACAAGCTCGCTTAGAACTCTCCGTACGCCTTTTCAGTGGAAAAGACTGCTCCAGACAGCATAATTATCTGTTTAGTGAATAAAGAGGATATCTCCTCTTTAATACGTCATCGTTTGATCACGATATAGTACCTTGTACAACACTGAGAGCTAATCGACGGCCGTTTTACCTGGAAATTGGGCTCATGAACGCTTGATATGAGCGTCTCGACAATTGTGCTTAACCTTCATCACTTTGGCTTATGGAAAAACAGGATTTGAATGACGTTATCATGGTGTCATTAATGCCAAGGTGACTGAAATGCTCTCCGCGATATACCTTTCCTCGCATTTGCGCGCGTGTAGCTCAGAAATTGAGGGACTTGGGCTTAGAAGGGGAGGATGTGAGCAGCATCAAAATGTCTTCGAAATGGTGACCCTCTCTTTAAAGGAACTGTTGCTCCTTTGAGCCATACACAAAAAAAAATGTTCTAGTGAAACCCCCGGACTAGCTACGTCTAACAATACCACTGGGTAGTTCCACTGGGTGGTGCCACTGCCCCACTGCCATCTTTTCTAATCTAAATTACGCCATCAACGCTTTGTAACACCACTTTGCTTCTCCCTGCAGTTGTTGCGACTATCCTCATGACGATGGCCATGCGCACCTCTACTGGTGCGAATCATAAAAGAACGTTTGTGGTTGCTCCAGCGGATGAGGGCCTGCTACTGAGGTCATTGTTCGATGTTTGAACCAGTGCGTCACATGGGCCATTTATAATTCACCCATTCCCAAAGCCGCCCCGTAAAGAGCCGCTCCAAGAGCCTTGAGGACAAGTCAATGCCGTAGTACAACGTTTCGTTGAAATCGCGGTATAATACCGTCGTGCTCGTACTTCTTTTGGTCTCAGAATGTCTCACGCTTTCGTAGTCTTCGCTACACAAACTGATTGACACAGGTGTGTTTAAACATTGCGGAACACACACGTTGGCCAAGGCAAGGCAAATGAAATATATTACTTTGGTATTGGTGAGCAGAGAGCCAAATGGGATTATTGTTGGAGGGCCGGCTGCCCCAAATAGAAAGTCTGATATTTTCAGAATGGTTTAGCTAGCTAGCATTTTATTGATATCGAAGCTAGCATTTTATTGATATCAGTCTTCGCGGCTGAAACAACAATAACAGAAAAGTACAAACCGTGGGATGCTCTCTCAAATAATCCCAAAATCTCCCCAATCACTACCCTCTGTCATCGAACAGTCGCTGTTGTCTGCCCGTGGGCACATCCCAGCCGCCACTGTTTCTAGTCCTAACGATGTCTAATTTTGTTGAATTTCGTGTTAAAAAACTTCGTTTGTTCGGCCGACCCTGACCCCCTTCAGGCCCCACGGGGTGAGTACGGCTCCTTCCCCCACTCCTCGCACACCACCACCATCCACTGACATCCACCGCCCCGGCTCAGCCAAGAGCCCAGCTGGCAAGTCACGTGATTGTGCGGCAGTAAAAGGCGACGACAGTAACCGGGGTTTCTCCATGATTATCAGCACACAGCTGTAATGGTCTTTATATCACTGAATGGATTTGAAAAAATTAAAATAGATAAAAAAGATGGATCTTATTAATTTATTTGCTATTCAGCTCATTCAGCAGCATCATGATATGGCCTAAAATACAAGCTAACTGAACCTCATGTTCCCTTCACCACATGCGGTACATTGGGCAGATATGCCACTAAGAAAGATCATTTGTTGTATTTTCATGACATTATTGCTCTGAACGCCATAGTATGTTTTAAGAACTGTTGCTATCTTAAAATCAAAACTTGGCACCATAGGCCGTATTGGATTCCTCCTCTCTTCCTCCCGCACTTCTTCCCGTCGGTGTGCTGGCGAGGTTGGTGCCGGTTGGATGCTGCCGTGTGAGAGAGAATATTGAGTGTGGCGGTGAGGTTGACAGACATTTGTGCCACCCACCCTTGCCAAAGATTTGGGGTATCAGGCCGAATGTCTTTGTGGGCCGTAATTTTTGTTGCTGGGAAAAAATCATGGCTTGGGTGCGAGTTTCTGGGTGTCCTGTTTGCCGGTATTAGGTACTGTGGCGTCAATTTTACACCGTGCCGCGACCATTGTGGGCAAACTAATGGGTTATGTTAATCGTCCCCGATTTGTGACTAAATCTTGTTTAAAATCATGGTCACTGCTGTAGTTTTCTAGGTAGGATTGCATAGTTATTCTGCCCTTATTTTTTCCTGTTTGCTAGCATAAATTGGTAAAATTATGGGCCATTAGGAAGGAATGTTTGGTGGGTTGGTGGTTTGCAAGGTGAGGGTCATGTTCTATGCAATATGATTGCTGAGCAAGGCCAGACTAAAATATACATGTTACAATGAACATATTTTGTGTGGCATTGATATTGTGGCAACATCTCAAGCATGTGCATACTGCAAGTCAGAGTGCTCAGAGCGTGGGGCACAGTCACAGCCAATTTCAGTGCCAAGGTTAGCTGCTGAGCAAGGTGGTTGAATGGGGCAACCTATGACAGTACATCCCCTAAAACTAAGCCCAAGTTTTACTAGGCATTGCTATGTAGACATCCAGAGTGGTGGATGGATTTTGTGGACTGAGAATTAGACATGAAGGACAGTGTTCAGCAATGGTTAATATATACATACCCTTCACAATAGTTGAACTAGAAATGATAGGATATGTATAACCTTTGATTCCTGAAATTTCACCCCATGCCTAGCTTTTTGCTTGGTGAAATTGGCTTGATTTAAGCTCAAATGGTTATCAAATAACTGCCACATGCAGATAATTTAAAGCATCTGAACCAAGGTATCAGTGAAATTAATATAGCTGGTCAGTTCTGCATCAAGCAGGCAAACAGCTTTAAAGTACATTGAAAAATCCAGCTTTTTAGCTTAGTCTTCATGGGTTTAATCCTTTTTCTCACCCAAATCATCAAATTCTCAGCAAGTAGGCTCTCACTCCAGATAGCATGCAATGACTTGATGTAGAGATGTTTTTGTAACAAGTTTATAAAGGGAGAATATAAATAGAATAGAGCCAAATACTGTTATCTGAGAAGTAATGTTGAACTGTCAATTTTTATTGGTTATTGAAAGCCACTCCCTGCAACACTTTTTGCAGCAATCCAAATGAAAGTTACCTTTGTGTGACAGATATTGTGCTTGGGTGCATTCACAATTCCCTGCATGGATGCTTTATGATGGTATTGTTATGTTGGGCGCTAACAAAATATTTGTTTTGGTAAGGATATATACATAGCATAAGGCTACAGTTTCTGAGCCATTGTTATTACATTTGGTTTTGTAATTGAAGGCAGATTTATCAGTCCTTTGAAGCATCTTAATGGAACAGAATATTCCATATTTGAAGATGTTTAAGTGAGCAGTGGATATGAAAGAATAACTTCGCCTTCTACTATTGGTTTAATTTGAAGTGGAAAATACTGCTGTAGACAACAAAATGCATATTTTATTGAAGATGCTTCTCATTACATTATTCTTTGATCATGTAATGAAATATTTTATGACAAAACTCACTGTTTGTTCTTTTATCTCCCTCTTATTAGGTGGCCCACAATGACACTAGATATGTGCTGAACCAAATGTTTAATGAGCTTGTATGCACACACCTGGTTAAAGCACTATTCATAAGTTATTTAATTACAAGTCATTTCTGCAATACTTAAGAGAAATGCATAACTTAATGTGTTATGTAGCACAACACATCACTTGTGTTAATATCTTGCATAGCTGGCACAACATTGGTTGAGAGCTGGTTGATGGCCATTATATCTGAAAATTGTGCTTACAATCACCAGATATGGGACTCATTAATTGTATTTGCCTTGGCCTTGATTGCCCCATGGCTGGTGGAATGGCAGGATTTGAATGATGTTTCTATGACAATGGATGCCTGACTAACTCTGCAATAGTCCACAAAGTAGTCTGCACATCTTTTGAGCATGCAGCAAAGAAGCCAAAGGGTTTTAGGTCCTAAGAAGGGCAGAGATGTAGTCTGCAATAAATTATATTCAATATGGCTATTTCAGTTAAAAACCCCAATGACTTCTCTGCATGCAGACAGCATGCCTTGAAAACTACCAAATCAAGTGACAAATGATTGTTTAGACTGTATGAAAAAGGCTACCTCTTAGTTTGCAGGAGATAATCAGACCCCATTGAATGATATATCTATCCCACAGCAGATAAGTGTGGTTCATGGCATAGAGTGGTATATTTGGGTGATGGGAAGTATAAGACTTAGTGAAGCAAAGTGCAGTGAAAAATCAGCAGGGCAGAGCCAGTCAGGCTCAAAATTGCATGGAGCCAGGGCTAGAGCCATGACTCAGAAATCGATACCAGCCAAAACCAAAATTGAAGCCAACAGTTGATGGCACAAAGCTGAAGCCGGAGCCGATGCCAGCTCTGCAAAATTGGCTCCAAGCTGAAGCGGGCACCAATAACTGGGGGGAGGGGGGGGGGGGGGGGGGGAGGAGGACGATGGCTTCATCTCCAGGCCTGACCGAGCCACAATGTCAGGGTGTTTCATGTTGACAAGATACTACACACTATGGTGCTCATAATTCCTGTTATGTTAGTTGTCTGGTTGTTTTTTTCTGGTGACATGTATGTTGTGTTTCAGTTTCCTTCTTACAAACCATCCCACTCGCCAACTCAGCCACCATGTATGCCTGCTCAAGGATCGTGATGCCGGCTGCCAGAGTAACAGTAAGTAGGGGTGAGGAGGGTGGAGTTTTGGCAGTAGGGTAGTGTGATCCATTGCTGGCAAGGCAGTAGTTCTGTAACTTGTCTGCTGTTGTCAGGTTTTGGCATGCCCTGAACACGATTTTTGCAGACGTCGCAATGTAGCACATATATAATTCCATCTGAAATGGGATTACCGCATACATCCTAAGATGCTGCATGTCAAGATCATATAATTTTGTCTGGGCCCAAAGCCATCAGCATTTCAATAGTGGCAACAGGTGTTGTAGCATCCAGATATGTGCATAAGGGTTTTTGTCCCAAGTGTAAGTATAACAGAACAAAATGGTGTTAACAAGATTGGCTTGGTCTAATTCTGTTTTGCATGCATGGTTGCACACAAATGGTATCACTTCTTCATTTGGCTGAGGACTTTACAGTGTGAATAATATATTTAGGGAGTTAACCACGTGGATAACATATTTAGGGGTCAGCTATGTAGATCATGGCTAGAGGTGTCAGTTGGGTTCCAAGTTTTTGAAGGTCTTTAAATTTCTAGTCTGGTCTGGAATTGGATGGAGAGGCCATTTTTGGTATTTTTGCGCAGCTGATGTAATTCTGTCTTGATGCAAATGGTATCCATCTAAAGCTATTTAATGTAGATGAACGTTACTTGCTCACGATCGTTTCCTTTCTTTTCATTCGACTCAAACGAGAGGACGCAACTGCGCGAGTAATGACTGGGGTCATTGATGTCGCTGGCACTCAACAATCGTGTCATTTGCTATTGACACACGTGTTAGCTCATATAACTAACGTCGTAGGCGACGCGTGAAGACTCGCGCATGGCCAAGCTCTGTCGGAAATAGCCCCGACCTGACCTAGTGCTGTGTCGGCAGGCTAATGTGCCCTAACCCGCTGTGCCGCGTGACCTGACGCTGTGCCGGCGGTGCCGTAACGTCGTACCGTGTGGTGCCCGCAGCTGCTGCGGCCGCTGAGCTCGGTGGCAGTGGCTCCCGTCAGTCCGGCGGCGGCCGCGCCCGCCTCCAGCCAGGCGGTGGTGCCGTACCGGTCCCTGCAGACGTCGACCGTCTCCCGCGACATCGACTCGGCCGCCAAGTTCATCGGTGCCGGCGCCGCCACGGTCGGCTCGGCCGGCTCTGGCGCCGGCATCGGCTCCGTCTTCGGCTCGCTGATCATCGGTTACGCACGGAACCCCTCTCTGAAGCAGCAGCTCTTCTCGTACGCCATCCTGGGATTCGCCCTGTCCGAGGCCATGGGTCTGTTCTGTTTGATGATGGCTTTCCTGCTGTTGTTCGCTTTCTAGCCGCGCACGGGCGGCGGTCGGGAGGGGTGTGTGTCGGGAGTGGGCGCGGCTCCCGTTAGTGGTGTACGTCGGTCGGACGCGTCCGACGGCGCCAGGTTCGACCCGCGCCGCTGGACGCGGCCCCCTTAGATACCAATATACACCCACGTGTACGTGACCAACTGTACCAAGCTGTTTCTCTCCACTGCGCGGCCAGCGTTGATGGGCGCCAGGGCAGCGACTGTTGAGTCGTGCGCGTCTTCGGCCACCATTATGCATGTTTCCAGCACAGAACTGAGAGCGACGAGCTACGTACATAGTATAATTCAAACAAATGGAACGATTGGTGGTCTCAATTTTATGAGGCCGAACAAACACGACGCCAACGTGTGTGTTTCCGGGCGCAATATTGTCTTTCTGCGCACGCTTCGAAGCAGTGGCGTATCCAACGGAAGAACGCAGGGGGCGGGGGAGAGGGCACGTACCCAGCTGCGCTTTGTCTATACCTCAGGATAAATGTAGATAATCACAGTAAAAAGGTGCACGTAAATACATGTAGATTAGAAACATGCGCCGATGCTATACGCCATGTCAGAAGTAACGCGCGGGCGCCGCGCTGAAATTTGTTCTCACGGTGTCGGCTTCTCAAAATGGTTGCGGGAGGGGCAGAGTCGTGGAAGTCGCCATGAGGTGACAAATACGAAAAACTTTGCGGAGTTGGTCCACTTAATTTCTGGCTATGCCTTACACACATTTGCATCCACTGATCGGATGTGCGTGTGGTGCCCGATTCCAGGAGCTTCTGTCTATGCTCTGTTTATCGTAAAAAAAGAACAATTAAAGTGCTGCCAACGATTTTGCACGTTTTTTGCGCCTGGGTCATTATTCGAGTGTGCTGTAGCCCAAAAATTACCGGCATCATGACCGGCATCGCTTTGGTGTTGCGGTAATATCTTACGCAGTGAAAAGTTCTTATATTCTTTTACTCGTATATTTCATTGTCTTTTTATATCTTTTATATGTTTTAGTACATACTTACCAATGAATGAAAAATCTAATCTAGCGTCGGGAAGAATTCTTGGGGCACAAAGTAGGGAAATTGTTTATAACGTGCATCAACATTTTGTCGAAGACCGGGACATGAAGTTGAAGGCGGGAGACGACGACGACGTCCGGGAGGTCCATTATTAAGAACAGCAGCTGTAACGGGCGTTGGGAAGACTGCAGTCTATCGCATACAACGTGAAGCCCAGAATGGTGCCAGACTGAAGTCGGCAGGCCGATCCCGACCAGCTGCAGCAAGACCAAGGGTGGACCTAGATCCGTTCGATGTTTGCGCCACGAGGAGAATGGTACACCAAATGTACATCGCCGGAAAACATGTTACTCTGGACACCATCACGGATGCTCTTCACGAACAGCTCGGCGTCACCATGTCTAGATCCACCGCAAGAAAACACCTACTCGCGAACGGATTTAAGTACCGAAGGATCGACGACCGCAAGATCCTGATCGAGAAACCTCATATTGCAGCAACGAGATGCCAGTTCTTGCGGGAGATGAGGAGGCTGCGTAGAGAAGTTCCCGATAGCAAAATCATTTATACCGACGAGACATGGTATAATCAGTACGATATGGAGGACTTGGCGTGGCTGGACGGTGGTCAGATCAACGGACGGAGGAACGCCATTGGAAAAGGAAGACGTTTTATAATAGTCCATGCCGGCTCTTCAGAAGGATTTATACCGGGCGCACTTCTCCACCTCAGGACCGATGACAAGAACGTCGACTACCGTACGTCGATAAACGCCGACTGCTACGAGAAGTGGTTCACCCAGTGCCTGCTTCCGAACGTGCCAGAGCACTCTGTGATCATCATAGATAATGCCTCATACCATTCCCGTTTGTGCCAAAAAGTGCCAACTTCCAGCTGGCGTAAAGCGGAAGTCCAGGAGTGGTTGCAGCAGGCAGGTGTGACCATCGACGAAGACATGCGAAATGTGGAGCTGCTGGAGCTAGTCAAGTCCCAGAGCCGGAAGAAGGAATATTTTCTGGACAGCCTTGCTAGAGATCAGGTCATCGGGTCGTTCGCCTGCCAGCGTATCACTGCGACTTGAACCCGACAGAGTTAGTGTGGGCACAGATGAAGCGCGTGATAAGACGGGGTAACTTGACGGGGCGGATGGAGGAGGTGGAACGGCTGGTGGAGGCAGGTGTCGCAGCTGTCTCTCCAGAGGACTGGAGTAAGTGCTGTGAGCACGCCAAAAGGCTGGAGCAGCAGTGCTGGACGAATGGCGGGCTGCTAGAAGGTCTCCCACCGGTTGTCGTAACAACCGATGATAGCAGCGACTCCGGCACCGACTCCGGCAGCGACAACGATGAATGAGAACGGTATGAAACATCAATCATGAGAAGTGCTTCCGTTTCGTTCTTTTCAACTGACTTCGTGGCGTTTACGTGGATGTGACATGTAGTTACGTGTGGGGTGTTTGAGCTGGATATATTGTACATATATCTGCAGCTGAATGTTCAGCGTTTTGTTGAATACCTTCAATAAAACTGAGCGAATTAATTTTCTGTGTTTGTGATTTTCCCATGTTATTCATGAAACAACACCAGCTTGGAGCAATTACCGAATGGAAGTATAGCATAACTTGCGTCAAAGGTAGGCAATGAATTTAGAACGTAAAAATAATTGCCAACGAAAATGACCCCCATGCCAAATATATATATATATATATATATATATATATATATATATATATATATATATATATATATTTGGCATGGGCATGCAAACATCCAAAACTGCTATTGCTTCGAGAGATCCGCAGTGCTGTCCTGCAGGCCTTCCGACCAATTTTGTTGAGTTTGAAAACGATTTCAGCGCGACGCTCGTGACGAATTGATTGACCAGCTTTAATTCCGTTCTTTCATACGATAAACAGAGCATAGTCCGCGGTTGCACGAATCGCGGACAGGTTAGACTAATCATTTTTACAAACTTGGATGACACCCCTTGGTTGGGTCACGAGTATGTGACGTCATTGGTAGACGTTCACAGTACGACCGTCCGCGATTTACTACCTGTAGACCAAAGTTAAAGCAACTGTTCGCACTTGCATTGAGGGCACCTAATTTTCCCATAATGGATATGGTAAATTGGAAAGCGATCCGCCAGGTCAGTACGTACAACGTCCAGTCAACGCAGTGCAAGGTCTGCCCATTTTTTTTTTTTTGTTGAAGTGTAGATTCCTGACCAATTTCTGGTGCCAATGCAAGCGTTGATTCAGAATATCGCCTTAAAAAGTCGAGCTCTTAGGAACGTACGAACTTAAAAATTTACCCTTGTCTTGTATGGAGTTTCTTAGTTGGGGGGTTTTCGGATATTGTGCATCACATGGCGACCAAAGTTTGTTGCGAGGCGCCAATAAATGGGAACAACTTTACACCAAGTACAAATATCTTGCGTGAGCCGCAATATCGCTTTGAAGCTACGGTTTGTTCGCGTGGTGGAAAGTGTAGAAGTAATAGTTCTTCGTTTTTCCGATAGGTTTCCGCATCGGTACGACAGGTCGACCAATCGCAAGCAGGGATTTATTTGTGACCTATTGTCAGCAAGACTGAAAACGTGGTTTGAATGTTCAATAAGCATGCCAACCGCTTCACATAGGTCTTATTCACCGTGATACATGGGCGGCAAATCCAAAAACAAAACAAGTGATAACTTGTCAGTAACAACCTCGAAGTAACATTTGATTGCAGTTTCCGACTGTTCTGATATCCATCTTAATCACAGCAGTAACACGGCGGGTCGATACATGGAATATCCACCGCGACGGCCAGTTACAACACGCGGTACAGTCCTACCGGCATTGACGGAAAGTTCTGCCATAACCCGATGCCAGAATGAAAAGTTAAATCGGACACCACCGGGAAACACCACCATTAGACCACACTAGACCTTTCCGCTGGAGATCATTGCGGCTTGCGCTTGCCTTAACCTGGCCAGGTTAGCGCTGTCAGGACGCTGTCTCGTAGAACCTGCACCCATCGCACCGACCACCACTCATCGCTACTGGCGTTGCTGTGAGCTTCAGAGCGCGCGCTCTCCGTTTATTGTGGCCAGGCTCGGCCGTCTCCGGGGGCAGATGACCGGATTCCTGCAGTTGGTCACCATCCTTACCCCTTACATGTGGGCGCGTTACCTGTCACCCTCCTATACAGAGCGCTTGAGGGCCACCGTCCCTGTGCAGGTGTTGGTTCTGATTGTTCACCGCACAATTGTAATTCTGTTTGGCCCCGACCGGTGACGCTTTCGGTCTGTCCTCAGTGTGACCGCCTCAGCCCAGTCGAGCCCATCCTCTCACGTGGTCTGGCCAGCACGGCGTTTTCCGGATGCGCCATGCATTCGACTCTGTCCAGGTTGCCCGGCACCACGTCCAGTGCCTGGCATTGTCGCCTCACCTGGTCTCAGGCGGGGCGCCATTCGTCACGCAGACCACGGTGGCTACTGCGGGCACGCACGCTCGGACGAGATAGCATTTCAATGTCGGCCGGGCGCCCGGACTCCGTTCAGCCATGCTATGACGGAGGACCCAGCTCCGAGACGTGTGCCAGCGCACCTCGTTTATATATGAGTATAGTCTGTTAGCATCTCCCTGCTGCGACATCGAAAGCTAGTAACCTTGAACAATGCATCACAACGCTTACTAGTGGGGAACCAGCGGTCTTCATTCAAACACACAAAGAAGTGTTCTACTAAGATATGGCCGGACGCACGACCGGACACACACACACACACACATATTTGTATATATGTATGTATGTATGTGTGTCCGGTCGTGCGTGTATATATGTATACACATATTTGTATGTATGTATGTGTGTGTGTGTGTGTGTGTGTGTGTGTGTGTGTGTGTGGTGTGTGTGTGTGTGTGTGTGTGTGTGTGTGTGTGTGTGTGTGTGTGTGTGTATGTGTGTGTATGTACGTATGTGCTGTCTGTCATTGAAGTTATGTTCTTTACGTTTTAAGTTATTGCTGTTATCCCAAAGCATGCTGCCTGAGTGCGCGAATACATGACACACACACACACACACACACACACATATATATATATATATATATATATATATATATATATATATATAACATATTCCTGCACTTAGGCAGCATGCTTTCATTTATGCCAGTTTCGTGATATGCAAAAGAAATACACATTTAGTCAATTTCTGGCGAGTTTGCTCCATTGTTCAAATTGAAGCCTGTTGTTCTCGGCAAGCCATAAATAAATTCGTCTATTCCTTTATGCTAGCTTGAGCTTGCAATGTTTCAATGACATTCGTTTCCCATTCTGAAAGCAACGCAAGACAATCGGACAAAAGATCGAATACGGCGAAATACGAGGCAGACTCCGCGGGACATAATGAAAGGTGTACCGACACATGACAGACTGCATCCGGATATTAGGCCAAACCATACCGCGTCTAAACTCACACACATCGTCTTTCCACCCCATTTGACACCACGGCAAGTCAGGACATCGAATCACCTAACTGACCTTGTGACAGAAAAGTCCAAAGTAATACATGACCTGAGGATGATCTTCGATAACCTTAACCCGGCGTTTTTTCGGACACTGCTTGAGAATCAGCGTTGTTGATTTTGCGCACATGCTGGCCCGGCGCTCCCTCCTGCAGGTGCTGGCATGCGCCGTGATACAGATATAGCCACCACTCCAATATCGGTAGAATTGCGTAGTCGGCGGTTCCCGCACGGGCCCTGAAATTCATAACTATGTTGTGTGCTTTAGCCAGTGTTGTGGGAAGTATCGGGCCAATTGAAAGAGTTGAAAATGGCGCGTCCCTTCGCAATTTTCGCCTGCATTTTTCTTTGCTGGCACAAGGACCATTTCTCGCACGCTGCACTACCCTCAATATAATGGTTTACAAATGTGTTCGGAGGTTGGTACTGCCACCAACGTAATGCCAACGTAAATCTAACACCTACCTTCAATGTTCTAAGACCCTTTCCCTTTCGACCCAAGGTCTGTTTAAGACGCAGAGGGTTTAGTTTTGATGTCGGTCTCTGGGTGCCGTCCATGAAGGCCGAGTGCCCCCCTCTACAATCTACGCATTTGTTCCCGCAATGCCAACCCGACAATCCACGTACATTAACGGAGGGATCGTCCCACCAGGCGGACGGCGTCGCACCAGGCGGACGGTTCTGAACCAATCACCAGATTGACAGCCAGTGCTACCAGTGCCAATCGCATGCTATGTGTCATGAATGGATTATCACCCAAATTTGTTTCAAACGGAATCACAGACGGAATTTTTTTTGTTTCTTTATTTCCACGCAGCGATCAGGCTTCAAAACTTGGCGAATGACTTCTTGGATCCGGCGCTCTTCACCACCTTGAGGACGTTGAAGCGCACAGTCTTGCTCAGCGGGCGGCACTCGCCGACCGTGACGACGTCCCCGATCTTCACGTCACTGCAACCAGACCAGACCGCGGGCAGTCAGTATCCGCCAGAGCTCGTCACAGGCCACCACGCGTCCGTGCACAATGGATGGACACCATCAGCGGAAGAAGCGCTGGGAGCGACCTCTTTCCCCTCACGATAATAGTGCAACACGCGTGTCACTCGTACTTCGTCGAGATGCAGCAACGCCATACACATAACCTCTATTTGCCCGAAACCTCTCCGACACCGTTTGCTGAGTAAGCATAGCTGTTGCGGATGGGGTGGTTGCTCGGACTATCGTACTCGTCTGTGTTCGTACCAGACGACAATGTATACAACTTTCCAGTCAGTTAATGCTCCGGTAGTCGTCAGGTGGCATTGAGTCTTAGAACCGAATAGATGGTGTCCCGCTTCCCGCAATGTACTCCTAAAAATTACTCAGGTTCGAACCAGGATGATCTGTCGAGTGCATTCTTAGTGGTGCTGACGTAACCGGGAAGGACATAGCTCTCCGAATTCTGACAAGGTGTAACATAACTCTCTTGGTGTCATCTAAACATGACACATTAGCAGACCGGGTATGATATAGTTGGGGTTTTTGGGGCGCATCGACTGCTATAGGGCATGCAGTGGGTATGACATAGTTACTGCTATGCATTCCTAGTACAGCTACCATATGTATATATCCAGGACACCCACTTCTGTACAACCCAATACATGGTATTCACAGGCTCCATTATGATGGACGCCAGGGTGGACGAGAAGACCCTACTGAGGGACCGAACCACATTTGTCACGTATCTAAGGACATTGCTTAGTCACGCACGTGACGACTTATGCTAAAAGGGTAGTTACGTTTCACGTAATCGTCACACTGAGCCCAGTTACGCATACGGCAATCCAAAAACGACAAGCACTTCCGGCCCACCACACCACGATTCTAATTATACGTCTTGGGAATGCAACGGCCCACCGCTGTCTGTCACATGGGCCATGTTTGCACTCTATCAATCAAGAGTTAATACAAATACACACTCCAAGGGGAGAGGAATCGTCTCTTAGGCCGAATGATTCGCAACCGCTCACCGGAAACACGGCGAAAGGTGGACGCTCATGTTCTTGTGGCGCTTCTCGAAGCGGTTGTATTTTTTGATGTAGTGCAGGTACTCTCGCCGGATCACGATGGTGCGCTGCATCTTCATCTTCTGTACAACACCCGTTAGGATGCGGCCCCGGATCGACACGTTGCCAGTGAACGGGCACTTCTTGTCAATGTACATGCCCGAGATGGCCTGCAAATGTGACAAATGGTCGAGGCAAATCCGAATCAAGCCGTACAAGACACCTCTGACAAAGTGTCCTTCAACTTTGTGATTCTCCAGTCATCACACACAATTTCTTTAAGCACTGCCTTGTACACCCAATTCCTTGCACCACGTTCTTCCCATAAGACATTATTTATATTGTGCTTATCCATATATTAAGGCAGCACAGGCTTTCTTAATGGCTGCAATCCTGCCATAACAAACTCAATTTTTTTAAGTCACATTTCTCAGCATACGCACACCACTGCATGTAGCTGCCCTTGCATGAATCCCCAACCAACGGCACATACTTATTGGCCACAGTATTGCCCAGCGGTATTTGTTTTCAGTCACATGTCTGTCACAGCTCAGAAGCTGCGTGGGATATACAAACATACATACATTGGCTTTGAAAAGCTGAACCAGACATTGTTACCATGCCTGGTGGTAGCTCCTGCCCAGGAAGAGTAAAACAAGCTGCAGGTAGATTAATAACTAACATGACATAACCAGCTTGGCAACAAGCTGGCTCTCATGGCCACAGACCAAAAATCTGCCATATCATTTTAAGGAAATGAGTCAATCAGATTTTGTTTTTAAAGATCTAACCTGAAACTTTTTGGAATGGATGGATATCTGGGATTAAAGCTCACACCAAGCAGCGCTTGTTGTGTAAGCCCCGACCAATACCATCCAATCACAGAATTCCAGGTCAATGGCACAATTTGGTAGTTAAAGTTTAACATGCTGTAATGCTTGGCACAGACCCTCCTGTCCTCTGACCTTGTCCTCTGACTTATCCTGATCTGTAACAGGGCAGCTGCCACTGGTCACATACTTTACAGAGATATAATGAAGCCCCTTAAGCAACTCAGACCCACCATGCCACTGGTGGGCAGATCAGAAAGCAGGCACTCTATCCAACCAAGCTACCAGGATGGACAATGCATGGAAGCATTATAAATGTCAAAAAAATTGTAAGGGGAATGGTAACTTACCTCACGTGGTGTCTTGAAACCCAGCCCAACATTTCTATGGTACCTTAGGGCCTTGCCAACTTTCTGGCCCTTCTTGTTAAGGTTGATGGTGGGTTGGTGCTGGAAAGCCCTTTCCGTCTGTGAAACAAATACACAAATTATTCCACATAATTGTCACAAAGACAGACTTAGAGAAGCCACTGGCTTATCACAAAAACACAAGCAATAATTAAATGCTGACACCTTTTTAGTGATATACTTTCCAATCATACACCACCAAAACAAGTGCACAGTAATGTAGAACAAATTCTGAGCCCATTTAAATAAATCACAGCTCCTTCTCTTCTTGCTTAATTTCACATTTTCAATCAAGGAGGAGGATGGGAAGTGATTCCCTATCTCATCTGTCCATGCGTGGTTTATTGTTACCTTCTGGAGACACAAGCCAGCTGCCACTTGCATCCCTTACTGGACCCATGTCCATGTTCCCACAGTTAACATATTTTAGGGGGCAGATAAAAACTAAGACCCAACTAGCTAAAACCTTCCAAAAGCCCACCAATAACATTCCCAGAGCTATTTAAACAGGTCCAACACAGTGACACAGAATGCCAAACAAGCCAGGCTTCAGTAACAACATGCATCATCATGGAAATAATCAACACTTTTGCAGCCTACCACATGCTTTTTGAAAAAAACAACAAAAAACAATATCCTAATGCATGAATGACTATCTGTATGAAAAAGTACCACCCCTTCAGGGATATTCAAATAACAAATAAGGTTATTAACTCAGTAGTCAACCAAACCTGTAGATTGTATGTTACCCTGAAATTCAATATCCATTTTCTTGAGAATAAATGCACCATAAAATGTACCTTGGAGTTACTTGACATTGGGTACTTAGGGAATTCCACATAACAGGGCCCCACAGACATTTACACCAAGGATTGAAAAGGATTTATTACACAATTTTATGAAGAATGACACATTAATCCTAAAATGTAGTCAGAACATATATTTGACCAATGCCATGCATCATATTTAGGTTTCATGTTACACACCATGTTTGGCAGGTCATAGACACATCCACAATATGCACCATGTTTGTCATTTCTCTGAGCTTGATATGTGGGCATTGCCCTGCCCATATACAAACAATGTTGACATGACAGAACTGAATTGTCACTGATTAAAATAATAATAGGATATACATAAAGATTCAAGAGACCATAACTATTCATTTTAAAGCAATTATATGATAATTATTTTCTTTGGGATCACCATTTTACTAATCATTTCATTTTGAAATAATTATGAAAAGAGACAACACAATTTTGAAGGAAAGCTGATACAATTTTGCAATTCTCTTTCATCTCTGAAGTAATGTACTAGTCTGAAAAATATTTCCATTGTACTGGACACCTGGCACATGCCAGTGCTCTTAACCTCCCTCTAGAGCAAACCCTGCTCAGACCAGGCCCAACTGCACTGAATTACAAACTACATTTTCATAAGATATTCTCAGGCTATTTTCACATGAAATTATCTTTGTCGATCACATTCAAACAGCAACTGATTTCCAGAAATTGAGTTAAGTCCCTGGGCATGCATTCTACTCTGAGTTCAGAATTACACTCCATGTGTGCTGAAATTGTTGCAACAATGCTGTAGCTATGTGAGACCTAACTGGCAAAACATGTCATCACACTTGGTGCAGTAAGTTACTTTGTTTACAGATATAATTCAAGCCTTAAGCATCTATGAAATTCAGAGATCAGTCCTCATACCGAGCATTGCTTGTGTGAGCTACAACTCTTGCCATCCGATTCTGCAATGCCAGGTTAACAGCAGAATTTTGGGGGCAAAGGCTCAATGGCAGGGTGGTGCAATGCCCACACAATCACACCCTCCAACATCAGCTGACCTGACATGGCTGCTGCCACTGGACACAAGCCGTATCTATCAAGGGCACATATCAAGTATCTAGAGCAACTTGAACATACCTAGCCACTGGTGGGGGTGAATTAAAAGGCAGCCACTCTCATTAGCTGAACCATTGGGACAGACTGACTGTTGCCTTGAATCCCTAGCTTGAATGCTCCAAACCCAGACTACAACTTGAGGTAAATTTCCACAATAATTTTTGGGTATAAAAAACTACTGATGTAAAAACCCTAAATCACCTTTGCAACATAAGTTACCCAAAACATTACTTTTCCGTGCACCAATAGTGGGGTGACCGTGCGGCGTGCATTAGATATTGATCACTAAACAGTTTTCATTTCAGTCATATTAATACACTTATACTTCACAAACGATAAACTTCACCTCACCGTTCTGATAGCACACAATTAAAACCTCTACTTCGCAGATTGTTTACCTGGTGGTCAAGCGTCGCCATGATTGCACCCAAAAGGACGTTTACAGCGTTGGGCAATCATAAGAAGAATATGCTCTCCACTCCGCCTAGGTTCATCGTGCTGAGGTAAATTGTGTTTTGCTATTAAGGTGTAAATTCATATTATTTGACAATAACAAAACACAATTAATTTCAGACAATGATTCATCTACAAAGGATGATATCTAGTAAAATGGATGTATATTGCCCTGGTAAAATAAAATACTGCCTGGAGCACGCAAGTAAAGAAAATCTCTAAAATGCTGACACGTGAAATAAAGCAGGCGGATGTACTAAAAAATGAAATCCTGTCACCCACTCCAATAGAAGGCATATTCATGTATGTACACCAATACCAGTGATTTATCTTTTTCCCGACGCGTCGTAATCTTGCTTTACTAAAATTTAGGTTACAATTATCAATCATGAGAATGGTAAATGCCGTGATCCGTTGGCCCGTTCAATTCAACACTTGCCATTTTAGCCAATGATACGGCAATCCATATTCCTTCTTAGCGTGCATTTTCTCGTAGTAGTCATCCGGCCGGCATCGGGCAGGTTCCGTGGCTGTCGGGAGGGCGGGCCACTCTGTAGCGCAGTATGGTCGCTCGCATTACCAAGTTAGCCGGACCACGAGTGGTCCACACAGGTTTTCGCGCATGGGCCATCACGAGTGCGGTTAAGGATGCGACCCAAGCCCAGCAACACAGGAGGCGACGGTTACGTGCGAATCGGTCGATCCTAGTTTTGTGATGTTGGCCCTGTGTCATTATGGGTGCATAAAGAAAGGGAGAGGAACCGCATCATCTTTTTTTCGGCGACCCAACCGGAGTGAAACAGAAATGGCGCAACACATCATATGATGAAGAGATCAATTCGCATACTCAGGACCGACCACGTGCGATAAAATGCGTTATATTCGTTAAAAGAGCGTGATTGGCAGATTCCATGTTTAGGAGCATTGATAGTACCTGTAAATCAAAATCTTGTGTCTCCGAATGTGCAGTTCTTGTCATGACAGTTACGGACATGTCAGCAAAAGGCGAGTCGCGTTGCGAATACGTCCGGCAATGATTATACTTGACGTTACGTAGAGCATTCTTGGCGCGCCGAGAATAACCCATAACGTTGGCACTGTAACTTGGGCTCACCGAACGCTCGCGCTCAAGTGCCTGGGGTAGTCTGCTGTCGGTCAGCCCGGGTGGGGGCCAGAACGGGGAGCTCCAGGTGTGAACTGGAGCCAGAAATGTATGGGTGTGCGTGCCAGTACACCTTTACAGAACTATATCGTAGTCCCACAGAGCGAGCAACGGAACGTCATGGCAGAGCCCCATCGCGCCCATATGGGGCTTGCTTCCGTTCTTGGAGCGTTTTCTGACTGGGAATGTCGACCACTCTCAGGGAGACGGTCTTAAGGTGTGCATGACGCGACTCCGTCACCCAACGTCATCCGGCACACGCCCGTGAACCGTCGCCGTCTCGTAGCATACCTGAACGTCCGTGACAGAGGGTAGGCGCGGACCTGTTCGTCACTCGAGCTGAACAACCCCGTGTTTCTTATTCTGGTGAAATTTCAGCAACTATGTGAGAGCACCCCTCCTGTTCTATATGCTAACTGCCAGGTAGGTGTGATGTCTTTCTGGTCATTTTGCTGAGCATGACATTTCGGAGGCGATATCAGCGACGACGTGCCGCAGTCGTTGGTGCCGAATTCAGGACACCAACGGCTGCGGTAGCTCGACGTTGAACACCAAACGTCCAGCCCGACTAACCCGCGGTGGAACAAAAAGGCGGGGAACGCGGTTTGCACTGGCCAAAATAGCTGGAAGAAAGTGTCTGGCTTTGGAAAGGACCACTCGTGTGTCCCTCTCGCATAGATAAAGGCACCTGGGAGGGAAATAAGCCTGTCCCACGCTCAGCTGCAGTGTTTGGTCGCTCTTGCCGTCCATTTTCACCTACTGCCCCTGAACTCTGATGCCGGATGTGCCAGTACAGGTGTTCGGGGTGCTATCGTGGGTGGGAGTGCGTGACAGGCGGCACACTGCCCGCGCGGTGGCCCCAATCACGGCCAGTGAGTCAGTCCGCTGACGTTTGTCGGGACAGTCGTTGTGGTCTCTGAGCATCTGTTTCAGGCCGCTGCCTCATCGCTCGTGTCTGGGGGAGGTGAACGGCATATTCTGTCGCCGCAGGCTGTGCCAGCTGATAGCAACGGGAGAGGCATATACACCTGATCCGCTGTAGCACCGAACACAGCCGAGTCTGACCGAGCCTTCGGCCAGTTCCGTCATCGCCTTCCGTCCGCCCGTCAGTCCGATCGACCCGGATCCTAACGCGACCCGGGGACGCGCAGCCGTCGATTCAGACTTGCCCACCCCCGCCGCGCTGAACCCTCTGTCCTCATGTCGCTGCGTCGATCACTCCGTGTCTCGCACCCGCCTTGTCAGGCAGATTCTGTGCCGTAGACGGTGCTCGCTGTTTGGTGTCATGCTACATGTACGTGTTCGGCGCACATCAGCGAAAGAAAGATGTAAAGAGAGGAGATGTAACGAGAGGGAGATGTAACGAAAGGGAGATGTAACGAGAGGGAGATGTAATAAAAGGGAGATGTAACGAAAGGGAGATGTAACGTTGGCACTGTGACGCGGGCCCACTAAACGCCTAAAGGGGAGTCCGATGTCAGTCGGCTCGGGCGCGGTCTGGTGACAACTCAGCCGTTGAGCTAGGCTGATGCTGTCAGTGTGTGCGTTCCAAACACATTTTATGTTTCACATGAGACGAAGCATGGAGACATTAGTGTCAACGTAGTGTTTTTTCTTAGTTCAGCAACGAAGTTTTTCAATGATGTTGGCAATCACTAAACACTCGCTCTGATTCGCTGTGCTGCGTAACGTGGACTGAAAGTGGGGTGGTCCGTGCGATGCAATGATGTGTCGATGGTCGACCCCTGCCGTTTCCAAGCCAAGAGAGATAGAGCTAGGCGCACAATTTCTCAAAATGAGTTGGGGGACGGGCGCGGGCTGGACTGTGAAATAACCTAAAGTAACCCCAACACATGCCAACAAACAGGCTTCTCCCCTGACTTGGCCCACTTTTTTCCCGAAGTTTGGGGGGAAGGGTGCTAGAGCCCAAATTGGAGACCTGATGCTCCCTTCCAACTGACTAGGAAGCTACAGCTAAGAAAGCCCTGAATGGAGCCTCGAGGACCAGAGACTGAATTAGTCTCAACGAGGTCTCACGATTGGTAGAAGCATATAATGTTCTTAGGTCAACGATTGCATGCACTAGGTGATATTTCAGATTACATTTACATTTACAAAGTCATGTCACGCGGTAACATGAAGCAAACCATGTAACAGGTATGCTCCTTGTTAAATCTCAATTATACTGATAAGCAGTTTGGCGTGCTTTGACCCTGCATCTAAGATGTAGCGCAACTTTTAAGTGTGTCGGCCCCCGCACAGCAACTGGCGGATTCGTCGGTTGCCGACAATCGATGACCTCTTTGAACAGCTGGCTACCACTCAGATCGTTACGCAAACAGATATTTGTTGGCGACATTGTTCTTCGGTAGTTGTCACCAACAGTACTCTACTTCTTTTGCGAATACAACAGGTTTTCAATGGAGGTCCATTTCTATTTTTTTGCAAGGGTATAATGCTGAACTGTCCCTGTGTTTGCTTGCATACACTAATCGTTTTGCTGAAGTATTGCACAAGCATATGAAAAGGCTGACCGACAAACACACCTTTCTTCTTTGAAAATTGTTTGCTCGCCAATACTTCTATGCTACCCAGGGTAAGGGCTCTGGGTAAGAAAATGACAATAAAAAATTGACTCACGTCAAGACAAAGCAGGCTAACCCCGTTTCGAAACACGACTTTGTGTGGTAGCTAGGCCATGAGACCGAGACCATCGGCTCGCCCCCCCCCCCCTCCCTATCAGCTCTGAAAATTGATGGCCCTGACTTCGTCAAGTTCAATTTGCGGATGTGATAATAACGTATTTGTGCAGTTATTAAGATGTGGCAATCATTCAGTTGTCAAAGTAATGAGCAGGGAATTTTTGTGCTGACAATATTGGGTCCTGATGTGTGGGGATGGCAGTTGCGTGCCACACTCTTCCGTGGCGCTGAATCATCGCCACATCGCCGCCGCCGCCGCCGCCGGCCATCGGGCGTCGGATGCGGCGGCGACATAGGGGATGAGCGCCGCCGCCGCCGACGGATGTCAGGTGCCGGATGCGGCGGCGACTTTGGTCACGAGCGGAGTAGGCATGAGCAGGGAGCGATAATTGCTATGTGACATTGCTCGAATACAGACAGCTCCAAGTTCGGACATGTTTGCTTCCTACCAACAAGCTATTTCGGAGCCATGCCGTCTGGTCTGAAGCAAGTACCGGTGACCGTAACTGGCGGTGACGTCAGCGATATGCAGCGGTTTGAGGGCCGTGCCATTTCGGTGTCCATTGGAGGAAGAGATATGCTTGGTTCACCCTGGAGATCAGGCTGTGTCGGCAACGGCGAGTCCCACCAGTGGCTCGATATTCCACCAGAAAGAATCACCAGAAAGGCCTTCGGGGTACTTTCTGGCAACGACCAAGACTCGCTGAATGCTGTGCGGAATGCGTCTTACGACGTGTTCACACGCTGCACTTCTCGTGCGTTCTACTTACCGCGGTGCCAAAACTGCTGAACACGAGCACCCGAGGAACGGCGGCATCCGTAGCAGAGCTGAGCAAGCGGGCGCGGCGGATGCTGGAGAAGACGGAGAAGCATCAGTTCCCGTGGTGGCGGCACTCACGGCGAGTGGAGTTGGAATGAAGCCGCGGCGCCTACCGATGACGCCGCCAAGCGGTGGAGGAGGGACGCAATCACGATCACTTGTGTGCTGCCGCTGCCGCGAGATGGGTCCTTCCGCTCGCGACTGCCGCAGGCCGTTCTTCGTGCGCGGGGGGGGGGGGGGGGGGGCATCCAAACGCCGGCAGGGACGGTGCGTCAGCGTCAGTGTCTTCTCCCAGCGCCCGTTACCGTTGCGAGCGTGGCGATGGGACGGCACTTGTGTCGGTCCCTCGTA